TATACTATTTCCCTCTGTAAGTCCAATGTATTGTACTTCCTCAGCCAGCCTACTTTTTAGGGGAAAAAATTAAAGATTTATTTTTATGTATATGGATGTTTTGCCTGCATGCATGTCTGTGTGTATCACGTGTGTGCAGTGTGCATGGAAACCAGAGAGGTTATTGGATCCCCTGGAACTGGAGTTGTAGACAGTTGGGAGCTACATGTAGGTGCTGGGAATTGAACCCAGGTTCTCTTGAAAAGCAGCAAAAACTTTTAAAACCAGGTTTTTGTTTGTTTGTTCTAGAGGTCTCTCTGTGTAACTCTGGCTATCTTGAAACTGGCTGTGTAGACCAGGCTAGCCTTGAACTCGTTTCTATAGGGTCTTCCTCTAAAGCGCAGGCTGACCTTGAACTTGGGATCTTCTACCTCAGCTTCCTGAGATCTGTGATAACTACCATGCCAGACCTTATACTTCCATATTTTTTTTTTCAAGACAGACTCCTGGTTTTTGTTTGTTCTGTTTTGTTTTCTTTCTGAGATGGGATCCTGCTGTGTTCAGTGATAACCCTGCCTCAGTACCCCAAGCAGCTAGATGTAGTCTGTTTGTCTGGTTTTGTTTTTGAGACAAAGTCTCACTCTAACCTAGGCTGAACTCTTAGCAATCTTCCTAAATGCTGGGATTACAAGTGTGAGGCACCACACCTGGCCTTTCATTGAGACAAGATTGCATGTAGCTCAGGCTGGCCTCTGCCCCTCAAGTCTGTGTTTCCTGTCAGGGTCACCAAGCCTGGCTCAGATCAGATGCAACACCCCCCACCACTTCCCCGTGTCTCCAGAACCTCACACAGTGTAGTCCAAGCTGGCTTCAAATCCCTTCTGATCTAGTGTTTAAAAACATCTTTAGATGTAGTCAGTGCATTTCATGTGTGTGTGTTTTGCTTGCATATATGTATGTGTACCATGTGTGTGCTTGGTATCCAAGGATTTCAGAAGAGGGCATCAGATCCCCTGAAACTAGAGTTGCAATCCCATCATGTGGGTGCTGGCAACCCACATCGTCTGCAAGAACAGCAAGCGCTCTTCATCCCTGAGCCATTTCTCCAGCTCCTGCTTTAGCCTGTTAAGTTCTGGGACTACAGATTAAGTCCGACTTTAGATCCATTAAAAATAAAATTGACCTAACTGTACAGTCTTGGCTGGTCTGGAACTTGCTATGTAGATGAAGTTGGTCTCCAACTCACAGAGACCCTGCGTCTGTCTCCCACATGTGCCACCATGGCTAGATGCATATTAAAAAAAACATTTGTTTTCTTTGAGATTGGATGAACATATATTGCATATATGGAGGGCAGATGCTGTTTTCATTGTTGAAATTGGTATTTATGGAGGAAGTATTTATTCCCTTTTAACTATTTTATTATGCTTCCTACAAATCTTGAGATGCTGGTTGCTGGAGGGAGAACAACAAAAAATAAAAAAGCTCCCATGAATTTGATATAGTCTGGCTTACAACTTAGTACCATAACCTAATTCATTTATTGAAATGCTGGAGATCAAACCCAGGTCCTTGAATATACAGGCAAGTAGTTTACCACTAAGTAGAGCCACAATCCTAACTCAATTCTTTCAATAGTGTCTTTAATATATAACATTTATTTTGCTTATGTATCACTGGCACCTGTAGAGGTCAGAGGACAACTCTCAGGAGTTAGTTCTTTCTACTTTATGGGACCCTGGAATCCAACTCAGGTGGTCAGGCCTGGGCACAGGTGCTTCTATCCACTGAGCCATCTTACCAGCCTTTTGGAAAAGAATTAGTTCACATATTAGTTTACATATATGGGTGTTTTGTCTACATGTATACTTGCACACCAGAAAAGGACATAAGATCCCATGAGATTACAGTTATAGATGGTTGTGAGCTGCCATGTGGGTCCTAGGAATTGAACTCGGGACCTCTGGAAGAACAGTTAGTGCTCTTAACCACTGAGCCATTTCTCCACCCCAATTTAGTATTTTGAAGCTAATACTCAGAATCTAAGACAACTCCTTTTCCCGAGGTGCTATCTAGACACCTATGTTCAACAGCAACATTATTCAGTAGTCAAATGTAGAAACAACCCATGCCCACTCACAGACAAGTGATAAGCAAAACGTTGGGTACACATTCTACAGCATAGGCTGGGTCTGCAACCAGAAGAAGACTGTAAGCTTAGCATTAGTTTTTTTGAGACAGGGTTTCATGTAGTTAAGGCTGGCCTCGATCTTCTTTTTTTTTTTTTTTTTTTTTTTTTTTTGCAGGGGTGCAGTTTCAAGACTGGGTTTCTTTGTGTAGCTTTGGAGACTGTCCTAAAACTTGCTCTGTAGACCAGGCTGGTCTGAAACTCACAGAGATCCAACAGCCTTTGCCTCCCAAGTGCTGGGATTAAAGGCATTCACCACCATGGTTCTGTCCCCGAACTTGTATATAGCGGAAAATGGCCTTGAATTTCTCTTCAGTCTCAGCCTTCTAAGATGTACACTTATCACTTGTGGGTATTCTTCGTGTTTGTAAGGCCCTGGGTTCCAACCCTTACCAGCACTGAAAAAACTGTCACACACTACGACATGGATGGCTGTGTGGAAACATGGATGGAAGAATGATCAGATATGGAAACAAGATGCTGAGTGAAATAAGCCAGACACTTAGCAAACACTGTTTCGTTCCACTCCCGTGAGGTATCTAAAACAGACAATTCAGAGGCAGAAAGTAGAAAGGAGGTACCAGAGACTGGGGAAGGGGCGAGGTAGGCAGTATTACTTCGTGAGTATATCCCTGTTGGGCATAATGAAAAAATTCTGTTTCTGGAAATGATTTGTGGTGACAATTATATATTAATGGCGCAAAGGTATATTCTTTAAAGTGATGTTAGGGGACAGTGAGATGACTCAGCAAGTAAGTACTCTCAGAGTATTTGCTGCTCTTCTAGAGGCCCCAAGTTTCTTCCCCAGCATCCAGGTCAGGTGTCTTAAAACCATCTGTAACTCCAGCTGCAGGAAATGCTTGATTCTGGCCTCCTCAATCACTGCACTCATATGCACACTCCCACCACACACAAATACACATAATTAAAACAATATCGACAAAGACCTGGAGAGCCAGGTGGTGTGCACCTTTAATCCCAGCATCTGGGAGGCAGAGGCAGAAAGATCTCTGTGAGTTCCAGACCAGACAGGGTTACACTGAGAGATCATGTCACAGAACAGCCACAGCTACACAGAGAAACCATATACACATAACAACAACAACAACAAAAAGGTTGGAGGGTGAAAAGACTTGCCACTCTTGCAGAGGAGCCTCCTGCCTTCTTCTAGACTCCAAAGACATCGGGCTCACACAGGATGCCCATCCATACATTCAAGAAAAATGCTCATAAACACAAAATGAAAAAAAGCATTTAGAAAAAATACATTTTAACATTAAAATAAATGAAATTATGTTAGAGATGGGCGCAGCGGGAGCGCCCCGCATTCCCAGATGACAGAGATCTCTTCAGCCCTGAAGTCAGGCCAGCCCGCCTGGGCAGCACAGTCAGACTGTGTCATAGGGAGAAAAGTAAAATAAAATATAAAAAGTAAAAATGGAGCTAAGGATGGTGTGCACACCTGTAATCCTAGCACTTGGGAGGTTGGGGCAAGAGGCTCAGAAGTTCAAGACCATTCTCAGCTACACAGCAAGTTTGATGCCAGACTCTATCTCAAAAAAAAGTCAAGGATTAAGTTATGTTTATTCTGATACAACACACACACACACACACACACACACACACACACACACACACACTGTGTATGAAGCAGGGACAGGAAGATGGCTCCTGTGGCCTCTTGCACATGAAGGGGGTGGGGTCCTAAGACCCTACCTTGTCCATTATCTACTTGGCTGTCCTTGGATACACCAATTGGTTCCCTTGTAAGAAGTGTACTATGGTTTAGTAGAGAGGGCTCACACAGGAAACACCTTGGGAAGCTCAGCCCCTTGGGACAGCAGCTCTCAACCCGTGGGTTGTGACCTCTTTGAGGATAGCATATCATGTCCTGCATTCCAGATATTTACATTATGATTCATAACAGTAGCAATTATTTTTCGATGTGAAGTAGCAACGAAATAACTTTTATGGTTGGGGGGTGGGGCTGGGGTCACTGCAGCATGGGGAACTGCATAAAAGGGTCCAAGCATGAGGAAGGTTGAGAACCACTGCCTCCGGTCCTTCCCCCACTTTCCTAATGGGAATGCTCAAGTCTTAATGTGCCTCTGGCCCAGGCAGACGGCAACTGCCCTGGAGTACATGGTACATTCTTATTCCCATTTTATAGATGAGGGTATGGAGGGTTAGGTGAGTCAAGCTGAGTCCAGCAGGTCCCTCTGACCAAACCCAGCCCACAGGGGGAAAGGTGACTGATAAACAGGCCTGGGATTTTGTACTGGGCTTGAGAGACTGAACTTTATTCCTCAGATAACAGGGCACCAACCTGGCCGCTGGCCCAGAGAACGTGGCCATAGCCCTTCTCTCAGCCCTGTTGTGGTTTGTTGTTAGTCTTCCTCTAATGGAATGTGAAGTCCATGGGTAGGCCAGGCCTTTGCTTTTGCTCATTGCTGGAACAGCCAGGAACCTTCCGAGGATCCAGTAAGCATTTAAGGGAAGGAGGGAAGGCGGCTTCTAAGATCAGCACTTGAAGCATTTTAGTCTTACTTAATGTCCAAACAGCATCTTCATATGCAACCAGATAAGGAAAATGAAACTCAAAGAAACTGATTTCTCTGAGGTCACAAGGTGAGGCAAGGGACAAAGCCAGAACTCATGCATACCTTGTCTGGAATCCACGGCTGCAGGACCTGGGCAGAAAGATGGGACAAGATGGGGGGAAGAGCTTTGAGGCTGGGAAAGGACTCAGGAGGCCAGTCAGGTTAGCTGAGCATTTAGACTATGGTTCTGTCTCTAGTGACTTTATTCTTGGCTTGCGTTCTGATTCCAGGTCTGCACTGCTGGAGTTGTGACACCGAAGGCTTCCAGCCTTGGCCGATCATCTATCTGCCCCTGCGGCCATAGACCACGCTCCCATGTCTTGCCTCTGCTTGCTTTGGGACAGACTCTGTAGAGCCACCAGGCTACCACCCTGGAGGTGACAGCCATGCTCGGACCTTAGTATGCCCCATGATGCCTCAGCCTAGTTTCTCTTCCCACTTGGACACGATGTTTGCCAATTCTTCAGCCAACGCCTCTTCTACCAACAGCTCTGTGCCCCGGTGCCCTGACTACCAGGGTACACATCGTTTGCATATGGTGGTCTACAGCCTGGTGTTGGCGACTGGTCTCCCCCTCAACGCTCTGGCCCTCTGGGTCTTCCTGCGTGTGCTGCGCATAAACTCGGTAGTGAGTGTGTACATGTGCAACCTGGCAGCCAGCGACCTGCTCTTCACCCTGTCACTGCCCCTGCGCCTCTCCTACTACGCCCGGCACCACTGGCCCTTCTCGGACTTCCTGTGCCAAACGTCTGGCGCCATCTTCCAGATGAACATGTACGGCAGCTGTATCTTTCTGATGCTCATCAACGTGGACCGCTACGCGGCCATCGTGCACCCGCTGCGGCTGCGCCACCTGCGGCGGCCCCTCGTGGCGCGGCGGCTCTGCCTGGGCGTGTGGGTGCTCATCCTGCTGTTCGCCGTGCCCGTCGCCCACGTGCACAGCCCGTCCATCTGCAGGTACAAGAACATCACCGTGAGCCTGTGCTTCGAGAGCTTCAGCGATGAGCTGTGGAAGGCCGGGCTGCTGCCGCTCCTGCTGCTGGCCCAGACACTGGGCTTTCTGCTGCCCTTGGCGACTGTCGTCTATTCGTCGGGCCGGGTCTTCTGGACACTGGCGAGGCCGGACGCCACTCAGAGCCAGCGACGACAGAAGACTGTGCGCCTCCTGCTGATCAACCTCATCATCTTCCTGCTGTGCTTTGTGCCCTACAACGCCACGCTGGCAGTGTACGGGTTGCTGCGAGCCCACCTGGTGGAATCCAGCCTTCAGGCCCGCGATCAGGTGCGCGGTGTGCTGATGGTCATGGTGCTGCTGGCCAGCGCCAACTGCGTGCTGGATCCGCTGGTGTACTACTTCAGTGCCGAGGGTTTCCGAAACACCCTGCGCAACCTGGGCACCGCGCTCCACACCAGGCCTTTGGCTACCAATGGGGCTAGAGGGGTGCTCACCGAGCCACCCTCAGAAACCACCCAAAACACTGGGCAGGATGCCACCAGTCAGGGGCTACTCCAGCCGGCCAATCTGGGAACACCCATCACCCAGCGCCCCCAGGATTCAGCCCTCTGAAAGGATGAAGTGTCACAGTGTAGGCTTGGGTCTCCCTCGAAGGCTTAGGGTGTACATTTGAGGGAGGTGGGCTGGGAACTTGGACTTGGAACAACTCCAGTCCTAGCGTGCAGAAGGAAACAGGGTAGAAGAAAGGGCATTGGTGGTAACAGTGTAAGCCTCTGGTTTTTACGCAGAGGATCCCGGCTCAAGTATGTAGGAAACCATGTGGTGAGCATGTCCTTGGCTAAGGGCTGGTAGATGGAGCAGAGGATGGATCTCCTGCATTTAGGCCATCAGTCAGTCTGAGAACTGAAGGTTCCCTGACCTCGGTGGATCAACTACACAGAGGTTCATCTGTCATCTTCAAAAACAAAGCAAAACTCAGGGCTGGTGGTGGGACTTGGAGCCCTCTGCTTGCGCTTGCTGGGCGGGCACATTCCCACCGAACTCCATCCCAGCCCTTCCTGGTGCTGCCTTCTGTGCTGACTTGAGGGCCACGCACACCACGCCACGCCACCAGCCCTCACTTCCACTTGGCTTCCCTGCGCAGGTGGGGGGGGGGGCATAATACAAAGCTTTATTTGATATGCACTGACCTATTTTGTGACTTGCGGTAGTTTAGACTTGACACCCAGTATGAGGTGGTTGGGGCAGGGCAGAGCTGTGGGTTGAATCCCTCTCAAATCTAGTTTTTGGTCCCTTTTCTAGTCATCCTTTCTCCTACCACTCTCTGGGCCTTTTCCATTCTGTGTCTCATTTCCCTCCCTCTCCTTCCATCTCCCCCTCCCCCTTATATAGACTGTGCTGACCTTGAACTTGGTATACAGCAGAGGCTGCCTTGAGCGAGCTCTCTCTCTCTCTCTCTTTTTTTTTTTTTTTTTTGCTTTGGCTTTTTCAAGACAGGGTTTCTTTGTGTAGCCCTGGCTGTCCTGGAACTAGCTCTGTAGACCAGGCTGGCCTCAAACTCAGAGATCCTCCTGCCCCTATCTCCAGAGTGATGGGTTAAAGGTATACACCACTCAGCTTGGCTGTTTTTGAGACAGGGTTTCTTTGTGTAGCATAGGCTGTCCTTCCTAGAAGAATTCACAGACATCTGCCTGCCTCTGCATCTTGGATTAAAGACACCACAACTAGCTAGGTCCTCCTGTTTTTGGGGCTTCCTAAGCTGGGATTGTAAGCATGCGCACCACGCAGGCTGCAGCCAATATTTTATGGAAGTTTTATTTTTTGAGAGAGAAGCTCCCTACATAGCAAACACTCTGCCTATCTCCTCTCATTCATTCTCTCCATGCCCCCTGTCCTCCTCCCTTCCCCTCCCTCCCCTCTCCTCTTCTCAGACACTTCATCCCCCCTCTCCCCTCCCTCTCCCCTCTTCACATCCCCTCTTCTCTCCTCTCATTCCTCTCTCCTTCTCTGACCCTTAACATTTTAGCAATCAAGCATCATCCTCAGACTGTTTGGTCCCCAGTTCCTTTATGCAAAAGTTGGAGGGCCTGAAGAGCTTTTGTTTCTTCTTCTTTTTTCTCTTGTGATGCTTGCCATGTTATAAATTAAGGCTAACATGTTTTTGAAACATGGAAACACGGAGGCATACACTCCATTTAGCTAAGAGCAGTAATGTCATCACATTTCATGAAGCTTCTGTGAGAGCGTGGGTGTGAAAAGGACAAGGGACATGTGAGTATTATGAATATAGTTTTGACCTCAAGGACTTCCTCAAAGATCACTTTGAGATCACTTTGCTCTAAAGTATTAGAGTCACATCTAACTTCCTCTAGGACATTATTTTTATGTCTCTGGGATGAGGGCATTGATCAGCTAAATGCTAATTGTGGTTCCTAAGGCTCAGGACTTTCTGGAGGACTGGTAGGAACTGTAGGTCAAATGTAACATTATCTTGGGCTTTACCAGGGCAGCAGCCTGGAGGTGGGGAGTGGGGAGTGGGGGTTGGGAGTCAGGCCAGGGCCAGGGTGGAGCATTTCTGGGGAAGGAAAAGGAACAGTGTTCACCAGAAGACTGTCCAAGGAAGTAAGAGAAGGGAGGATAGTTAGAGCCTGTCTATTTAGCAAGCAGGAGGCTAGAAAAATGGTTTTCTTCCATGGTTGGGTTGCTGGGAGGGTTTGCAGAGATGGAGCTGTGACATGTTTAGACCCTGACATTGAGAATTGTTGTCATGTATGTGTCCTATATGCCCTATGTCCCTGTGTATCCCATTTCAGAGAGCTTTCCCAAGCGCTTCTGTTTCATTTCATTTAAGGTTTGGTGGGCCTTTTGTGTCTTTAGGAGGGCTTCAGTTGGTGATTTACAGGGGTAAAGTGACCCCTGGTGGCCAAATCAGGGAACTAACCTCACTTCTTCAGTGACAGGCTAGTATCTCAGCCCCAGTAGAGGAAGTTGGATGCCCACTGCCCCTGACCACCAGCTGCTCTATAGAAGGCCTGCTGTTAACATCTGTCCCTAGCTCATCGGGATTCAAGGTCTGTGCTCTCCCTGGCAGGACAGGATGAATGGCATCAACCCTCCTCCGCTAAATCTCAGGACATTGCACTACACAAGCAGCTGGACAGAGTCTTTAGAAGTTTTGGTGGTGAGGATGGATATAGCTCAATAGGTAGAGTGTTTGCCTTGCATGCACAAAACCCCGGGTTTGAAACCCAGCATCACATAAACCTTGCCTGGTGTTGTATGCTTGCAATTGCAGTACCCAAGGGGTGGAGTCCTGGTGGCACACCCTTTAATCCCAGCACTGGGGCCACAGAGAAAGGCAGCTCTCCAAGAGTTTCAGGCCAGCCTTGTCTACATTGAGAGTTCTGGACAGCCATGGCTACACAGAGACCTAGAGAGAGAGAGAGAGAGAGAGAGAGAGAGAGAGAGAGAGAGAGAGAAAATGAGCAGTGGAGGCAGGAAGCTGAGGAGTTCTAGGCTGTTCTCAGCTACACATTGACAAATTGAGGTCTGCCTCAAACAAACAAACAAACAAAAAACCGCTCCCAGCTGAACTGTGGGGGCCTGTGCCTCTAATTGCCTCTAATTCTAGTGTTTAGGAGGCAGAGGCAGGCAGAGAGCTCTGTGAGTTCAAGGCCAGAGAGGTCTACATAGTCAGGCCAGCCAGCAGCCAGGGCTACATAGTGAGACCGTCTTCCTAAAAAAGAAAAACAAAAGTAATTTGAGGGGTCTGAGTCTGGTATGCATGCCTATAACCCCACCTCCATGGATACTGAGGCTGGAGAATCACCTGCATTTGAGGCCAACATTTGTAAGTCCCTAGGTATGATCTCTAGCACTACAAAACTAAATAAATGAACAAACACATTGGGAAAAAAATGAGTACTTTTATATTCAGGTACTGAGCAGATTCCAAAGTGATTAAAACAGCATGTATCACCTAAGGAGCCATGTAACTTACTATTTATTCTAAATTTTGCCTGTATTATCTGCCTTTCTCCATCTCCCTAGGTAGAATGTAAGCTCCTTGGCAGGGGGAGCAAAGGTTTTTGTTTGGCTGGTCCATTACTGTATTTACTGGCATCTAGGACAGAGCCTGGCACAAAAGAAATACTCAATAAAGACTTACTGAATGAACAGTCAGAGCTTGTGATGAACTTGACTATGGGGACCACAGCCCAGCCAGGCCAACAGTAACTAGAATGGAAGATGGAAAACAAAGGTAAGTAGGGAAGGTACTGGCAGTTGACTTAGGGGAGGCCCTGAAAGTTGCCCGGTGAGGTTTGCTCATACACGTGCTTGTAGGACAGAGCTGTAGGGAAGTCAGGAAGGGAGAGTCTAGGGAAGAGAGTACTGTGTGAAGGCTGCAGTAGGGAAGAGTGTGGGAAGAAGTCAGGGAAGCAGGTTGTCTCCAGCCTGAAACCTGTGGCTGTCAGAGCCAAGAACTGTTCTGGTCCATTTCACCACCATGAGAACAGAGGCAAGACTAGATAAAAAGACCTATTGTAGCCAGGTGATGGAGGTGCACACCTTTAATCCTAGCATTCAGGAGGTTGAGGCAGGAGGATCTTTTTTGTTCAAGGCCAGCCTGGGCAGCTGAGTGAGACCCTGTCTCAAACAGGGGGCTGAGCATAGTTTTTGCCAAGAATGTATAATGACTTGGGTTCAACCTCCAGCATAAAAAAAAAAAAAGCATTAAAGGGTTGAAACAAAATATCCCTGTTCCCTCCCTCACAAAATAAACTATTATTCTGGTGGCAGAAGTGTTGTGACAGACACCTATAGTCCCGAACTACTTTGGGACCTATGGTTAGATTATAAGGACCTATGACCTTAGTTTAGAATTCAAGGTTAACCTGGACAATAAAGAAAAGACCAAGCCTGGCCACCACACATGCCTTTAATCCCAGCACACAGGAGGCAGAGGCAGATGGATCTCTGTGTTTGAGGCCAGCCTGGTCTAAGAGTGAGTTCCAAGAGAGCCAGGGCTACACATAAAAAACCTTGTCTTGAAAAAGAAAAAGAAAAGAAGGAAGAAAGGAAGCAAGGACCCTGTCTCTCAATAAATATACAAACAAATAAATTTTCTGTACACCAAGATTTCAATATAATGTTTATAATGTCTCTATTGTTTCTTTGTTTTGTTTTGAGACAGGGTCTCTCTACTTAGCCCTGGCTGTCCTCATACTCACTATGTGACCAGGCTGGCCTCAAACTCAGAGTGCCTGCCTTTGTCTCCAAGTGCTGGGATTAAAGATGTGTTCCACTATACACCTGGCTTGTTTTTTTTTTTTTTTTGAGACAGGCTCTTCTCTTACCTATCCCAGACTGTCTTTGAGCTCTCAATCTTCCTGCCTCCGTTTCTGAAGAGTTAAGATGTGTTCCACTATGCATTTCTTTTTTGAGACAGGTTTTCTCTTTGTAGCTCTGGCTGTCCTGAAATTGTTCTGTATTCCAGGCTGGCCTTGAACTCACAGAGATCCACCTGCCTCTGCCTCCCTAGTGCTGGGATTAAAGGCGTGAGCCACCACAGCCAGACTCCACCACACTTTTATAGGGTGCCTAATATTATTTAGTTAGAATAATAATGGCTTCTGGGATATGAATATTAATATGATTAGCCCCATTTCACAGAGGAAACACTGGAGAATCTGAGGTCTCAAGGCCAAACAACCAGGAAATGGCTCAGTCTGTTTCCTAAACTCTTACTTCCAGCCTTAGGGAACTTGCCATTCCCTTCCACAATCACATTCAGCCAGTGCAATTTCCAGCTGCTTTCCCCTCCAGACCCCTAAGGCCTTGCCGTACCTCTATCATATCTTGTCGTGTATCCATTTTCTCTGAGACCCCACAGGGAAGCTCCTTAAGCAGGAAAGTAAACAACACAAAATAGTTTCAGAAAGCCCCTGAAACTGACCAGATCCACTAGTAAACAAAACTGAGAGGAACTAAGTGGAGCGAGGGACGCTCAGACCAGGCCAGTTGCCTGAAAGAAGCAGAAATCCCCTGAGCTGCTGGAGAGGTTTAGACCAACTGAGTCCCTTGAAGGGACTCTCTCCAACCTGGTGAGCTGCCTGTGGACTGTGCACTGTG